CTACATGAACATCGTAGCGAAGGTTGTACCGTTGCAGCGATGGATGAGGCAGCAGCTAATGGACACATTGAAGTGGTGAAATGGCTACATAACAACCGAATAGAGGGATGTACGGTACGCGCTATGGATGGAGCTGCAGCAGGAGGACACCTTCGTATCGTCAAATGGCTACATGCAAACCGCTCAGAGGGCTGCACGGTAGCTGCGATGGATGGAGCTGCTGCTCATGGTAAGCTCGACACACTAAAATGGCTACATAAAAACCGATCTGAGGGCTGCACTACTGCTGCTATGGACATGGCTGCAGCTGGTGGCTACTTTGAAGTGCTCTTGTTCTTACACACAAAGCGTTCGGAGGGCTGCACAATGGATGCAGCAGTCAACGCGAGTCGCTACGAGCATGTGGAGATTTTGCAGTGGTTTTTCCGCTTCTATCCGCGTATGATCCACCGAGAAAAAGTCATCGTCTTCGCCAAGCGATATAACTACTACCTCATGGATTGGCTACATCGCAACTACCAGGCGTCAGGGGAACGCACTGTGCTGGCAGAAATCAACTCGTCGTTCTACCTGACGCCCCCAGAGACTGAAGAACTGACCACGTAAATGTAGAGACAGCAGACAACTACTAAAGTCATGCAAATAAAAAAAAAATGAATATAGACTCATCAAAAACCACTATTTAGTAGTCAGTATCTTTTGATCCGCTGGGAGCGCGACCGATTGGAGCCCTCCGTTTTTTTTAGTACTGCGTTTAAGTGGGGCTACAACAAGTCGCTTTTAGTTTTAGTCGTACAAAGCACAGGACACCGTATGAATAATTAAGATGAAAAATAAATTAATAAAAAAATACTAGGCGGAATAGGTCTTCATGGGAAGAACGAGCCAATTTCGACATTTATCATTCATGGTGTCGCCCTCACGCTCAAATGGATGGAGAAGCTCAGTCCCAGGGGTTTGAAGTACACAAAAACCAAGATCAGCACACAAGCAACTATACATTTCCTCAGAACTAGTGTAGGGCGTTTGCCTGTTAGTAAAGTTTACTAGAAACTAGCTACCTGAAGGTATTAGTACTGCGGTAGCTAACTAAAAGTAGATAAGCCAGTTGCCATGAATGAATGCCGAGCTAAGTTTCAAATCTACAATGTACTGCATCAATCCAAATAGACTCGTCCGTTGTAGTATAATTTTCCAGATAAAACTCTCTCCATTCCCATACTATCAAAACAATCGTCGCAGGTCGTGGTAAGAACAATATAGCGCTCCACATGCAGGACTACTACTACTAGTAATTTGTAGTTCTCGTTGCGTAATTACATACTTTTGCAGACACTAAGCAATTCTGAGTCAGAACCATGATCTAAACGCCAATTTTCCAACAAAGTGTCATGTACTTCTCGTTGTGTGGGTGGGTAGTAGAATGACAAAAGCTCGAGAATGACCAACTCGAACACAGATCACGTCGTGATCCTGCCGAACGTATCTACATTATAGATAATTTAGTAACTCGCCACCGTCGTCAGCGACTGCTACAGCATAGTCTTCTCGCACCATCGACTAACTAAGGTTTCTGGTGTCTGCCATATTGTCGTACGCTGCGATGAAGTAAGTGATTGATCGCATAACCACTCAAACCTTGGTTAATCAAGTGGGTTTCAGCGTCTTCTAGAAGGAAGTAAGCCGATTTCCACAAACTCAAAATGTGAAACTCGAGTCGCCATTCTGTAAAATTGTTCCTCGTGCCCTAACTTCTTCAGTGCCCGAAGCTGAGTTTTGGAAATTATTCGTGAACGAACCGCGTTCTTTTTCCTCCGCGTCGTCGTTAACCACCTCGATTAATCACAGCGAACTCGTTTCGGCGTCGTCCAGAGACCTACCAGATGTAAAGAGTGTGGTCGATAGAGTCACCAACAGGGCAAGGGCGAGACGCATTCTTGGTGTTTTGTTCGACGACTTGTGGGCTCGGTGGTAAGTTCGGAACTGAACTATGTGACGCGAAAATATGCCCAACGAACCACTGACGAATAGAAAAATATTGACCACTGGTTGGATGGGTTTGCCTTCCCAAGGCATCAACATCTGCAATTCCGACGAGATCGGTGCACCCCAAAAGCACAGTCAATCGACCACTATTCAGAGATACATTTGCCTGTGGTTGACGGAATTTTTTGCACCAGTCGACGTTTGGCACCAATTCCAGCTCAATTTGAAGTTTTTTTTTTTTTCTGCGATAAAGAACGGATCACTCTGTAGTACATATCAAAGTTTTTTTCCCCACCAAAACGTCAGTGTACAAGAAAAAGCCACTCAAAACGCTTGGGTTTGATTCGATTTTAAGTGTAACACGGTATCTATAGCTCAAGGAGAAGAATTTCCATAAATCAGTCATAAGTACTGAGATTGGTGAGAATAATTATCTTGATACAGGATCTCAGTAATATTAAAATAGTAGTGTTCTTAGAGATCATATCATTACTAAACGAGAAAATAATAGTACCTATGTAGTGTTTCAACGGATAATGGCTCGATGGAGGTCACGTTATTAACCTACCCCTACGAGAACCGTAAGTGAAATTGTTGGGTCGTTGCAACCCTGACACCACTAACTCCCCCCACTTCGGAACGCACTGCTTATCATCCAGTAAATGATAGCGGTAACGGCGCACACCCGCGACAGCTGGAATCGTTTAACAAGGAGCCCAATTTGCCGTCTCATGATTCCATCAATGCAGTCAGATTTTGCAGTATACGTCACCGCGGCATAGTGGACATAGTCAGGATGTTGTCTTTTGGTGAGCTGTGGCCCTCACCAAGACTAGACTTGCGTTCTATAATAGATCAATAGTGAACTCAATGATTAATCTATTCAAATGCGACTACTTCGAGATGTAAATAAAGTCACCAGCACAGATTGTATACATTTGCTTTTGGCACCACCTTAGCTGCGGTTTTCTTTTTAAAACCGCCTACTTGAAGCCCCGTTTTGCACCCATTGAGCTCGAGATAGCACAGTCATGACCTAGGTATGTCGTTAATGCGTAAAAAGTGGTGGGTTGGGAGTTCCTGTAGTACCAACATATATGTACTTCCCGGTATAGAGTGGCCTTTTTATCTGGTACGAAAGACATGCAGCTGGAGTTAGCCAAGTTTTTAGCAGGTTTCACAAATTTTGAAACGCATGCAACTGGTGGAATTTTTTATTGTAGAAATCTTTATTTTTTCGGCAAGACATCGACTAATAGACCCATTGTATTTTCAGTCACGCACACGAATCATTTTGCATCTTGACTAAAAAAAATACAATTCGCGCTCTAGACCATGGCACTTTAAAGACTATTAATTGATATTCAAAGTATACAAATTCGCGTATTGTACCGGTAAGTGGTGGGAGAGCTGTCTTGGCATCGTTGCTAATACCCTGATATTATTTGCCCAGTCTTTTCGATGAAGCCATCACTGATGAGTGTTCTGCTACACCTATTGCTTGTACTCTA